TGCAGATTTCTGCAATAACACCAGCGGAACTGCAAAAAATGGTGTTACTGGGAACATCATATATTTTAAGAAAGTACTTGATTGATACCTAGGATACTGGCAACAACCCATATCAACCATTAGCACCAGTCGATGTTATATGTGACACATCTTTAAATGTTCAGTTGACTGAGTTTCATGTTTAATAAATAAAAGAAATAATAATAAAATAAAAATAAAAACTGTGGAAAGAGAGGACTCCATTCACAAAATATAATAGCAAATAAGGAATTAATTTGCTTGAATAGAATACACTAAAGAGAGAAGGATAAGATTTATTGTGATACAAATACTTGGTTATCAAATAAACCAGGCTACATGTGGCAATGTAGCTAAAAGAATGGCTTGCTTAATTCCCTTCTGAATTTCTTGCCAGCCATTCTGCTTCTGAATGTTTTTTGAAGCATTGCACACACTACGAAGAATAAGACCGTGGATGGAGATGGATTAATTATGGATTAACCCAGATTGAAGGAGCGAAGGAGTCATATTCCTGAATTCTCAACATAAACACCATCCTTCTGGCAGGAAACCAGCAGGTGGGAGAGAAGTCTAGCTCTCTCTTTTGTATACATCATAGACGGCTCAGAGCAAAACAAATCCTCACTTTCTCCTGAATTTCTCATATTCCCTTACAAATACTATTATTCATCGAAAATGGATGGAATAAATATTTTTTTCACAAAACTGGGCCTTACGATCATCTTGCCAAGAAAGACAGGGAAATAAAAATCATAGGCAGAATTCATGGATCGTGCAAAATGCAATTGCTGTGTTCGTATAATGTGTGTTCGACACAACGTGATTGGCCTGGTTCATACGGTTTGCTACAACAACAACTGGGTTCCCAAACCACATTGAAGCAAATGATCAGTTTTAATTACAGTACCTTGACGTGTTATGTGGACCCACTCATAAAGCTAGAAGGGAACATTTAAGTCCAATGCAGTTACATCCCCGATTAGTGGCTGAGTGTTTATTACAAAGGACGATATCTAACAGGTTACATCGTTGCTTATTTCACGGGATCAGAACTCTTGAGGTTTGGACTATTAAAGAAGGGTAGATTTTTTAGTGTAGGATGATTTAGTTCAGCAGGGGGTTGTGCGTAAAGCAAGATCTGGGTGTTGCTGTTAGATTAAGCCTGCTAAAACTAAGGAGACTGGTTGGATAAGCATCCCCAGGACCATTTTTATCCCATCATCCCCACGGTAGAAAGAAGGAGACCCAGATGTAATGAATATCCAGAACTCCTAAATATGTTTTTTACTTTTTGCACTCCAATCCAATTACTATTTAAAATACAAATCCACCTGGGAGGGATCTGACGTATAAAGAATATTGTACTGATACAAATAATAACAATAGTGAACGCCATATGACCCTGTATTTTTATACATATATAAAACGTCTACTTATTTGAGTCTACCTTTTGAAAAATCAAAGGGAAAGATAGCAAAAAAAACCTACCTGTAGCTGAGTCCAGTGGTCATCATCTTCCTTTGATGAAACCAGTGCCCTGTGAAACTAAAAAAAGACGCTTTCCCACCATATCTTCTTTTCCAAAATATTTATTCCAAGAGTGTTTCTGTTAGCCTTTAAACAAATATAGCACCAGTCTTTATGACACATACTCACCAAAGTGGCTGATGGTATTCTGTATTTGACAGCATGACTTCCTCCTGTCCTATTCCTCCTGCCAACATGTTTGTGACACTCACCAATAAGTACCGTGTCTGTTGAAAGCCCCAAGGACCAACCACATCAAACATGAAATTGCAAAGACTTTTCAGTGCCAAAGGCTTTGGTCTGCTTGGTGCCAAACACCAAGCGTTGCCAAGAATGTATCGATTTGGTATGACATTCTTCCCAACCCTTTATCTGTACCACAAGCCAGTCTGCATGAAACTTGCCTGTCAGATTGTACGGTACAAGTACAATACTACAAACTTCGCAAGGCAGCCTATAGTTCCCTAAGTTTTGTATGAATGGATACCCAAGGGATATCTCATCTTAAACTATTTTTTTAAAACAGGTTACACTTAATTAGAAGGCAACCATGATAAGGATTTCAGAAAAACACCTCCCTCAGAAAGGAGCTGTCCAATATCATGGTGCTGAATGATAGCCATCGTTCCTGGGAGGCACATGTTATCTAAGAGCTGTCCCCAGAGAAAGTACTGATATTTCACCCCGATACATCACCTACCCCAGACAACTAACTTCCAGACAATTGCAAAATGATTGATTTAGAAAAAAATCAACCACCTTTTTTGCTGTGGAGTTTTCACCACTTAATTTTTCACCAATTATCATGCAATCTCTCCTGTCACAAAAGCGTACCATTCATTTTAAAATGCATCAGTGCAAACAATTATGACACAAAAGCATACCACATAGACTTTTAAAATCATTTGTCAATGGCATTTCAAGGAACATACAGTATCTTTCACTATAAAGAGTAAAATTTGTTAACAGTGTTTCCCCCTCCATTATAAGATAGTGAATAAAATAAATATTGGGGGGGGGGCTTGTTCAGGTGGTATTAAAATGAAGAATTTTAAAGCTCAGTACACCAAGACTTGGTGTATATTTATCTTGGAAATATTCACTTGCCTAGGCATCTTGTATTATAGATAGGAAAGTCCCCTGATATTTGTATAATTTAATGATACTTCATTTATTATTTCCTGAAGGTTCTGTAGTTCTGCTGTTTTTATGAGCCAATGTTTTTGTGTGTGTGAACAGAAAAACTGTATTGCTTTTAGGTTGGCATTAAGGAATGAAAAGGGAACCTGATGCCTCTAATTTCTATTGAATGTAGAATCAAAAGCCCAGACCAAGATTCTCCTCAGCATAAACCATTTGACAAACAGCAATCAGATAATTGAGAATGACAGTGACATCCAATACAATCTCTTTGTTAGCTCCTAGGGTGTGATTGTTCTCCAATTCAATTTGCACCACAGAGAATTCAAAAGAAGCAGTTTCTCCCGTCTTGTACAAAAAAAGGAAGGGAAGGAAAGAAAGAAAGGAGGAAGAAAGGAAAGAAAGGAGGAAGGAAGAAAAGAAAAGAGGAAGGAATCGTGACAAGCTCCAGGAAATGAAGAAAGAAAAAGACTCCAAGATTAGATTAAAGCACGAAACTATCCTCAAAATGTGAGGAAATCAATTATTGGGATTTAATAAGTTCTGCAAAGGGGCAATTAGTGGCCCTTGTAGTATCATTAACAGCTTTGATCTCAGAACAGGGAAGGGGGACAAAGTGAAGGAAAGGGCTTTGAAAGGATGAAAGCTGAGAAGAAAACTCAGTTCCGCTACCATCAAATGTACAAGAGGTATTTTATGATCAAAAGACAAGAGAGTTGGACCAATGTTTAAAGTTTCAGAAGATGGTTTGATTATTATTTTAACATTCCAGGTTTTTTTCCCAAGAGCTCAAGGCTACTTCCCTTCATGTTATCGCCCCCCCCCCAAAAAAAAATAACACCGTGCAACTGAACAGGGCTGAAAGTGACTGGCCGAAAGTAAACAATAGCTGAAAATGGAGTTGCAACTGAATCTCCCCAATACATACTTAAACCACAATGACTCTTGAAAACTAAAGAAATATCGAGAAGAAAGAAGAGTGATCAATACAGGAATAATGTGGAGAAAGGTTTTATATGTAAGATTTACAAAAGAGGGTATGGCAAAGTACTCCTAAATGATTGGATCCCACAGAGAGGGATGTGAAGGAAAAACTCAAATTCCATAATTTATTACAGTCACACCCCGCCTTTCCATCCTTACATCAGGATGGAGCAAAAAGGTCATCCAAACCTAACAACGAAAAACACACCAGTAGAGCAACAGCAAGCAGAAAGTCAGCAACAGTGATGAGAGCCCACCGCGGCGACAAGTCAATCTAAATATTCCGAGACAGCTATCGGCAACCATCGATCTGGAAAAGCATCTGCTCAAAATCTTTCTCACATCTCCAACTTTTTTCCCCCGGGAACAGGTTAGGTAGGAGGTGGAGGTTGAATGCTGGCTTATTTCTTAAAGGGGAAGCGCACGGGGAAGGAGGGAAATGCAAGCATTGTCTCCAGTAAAGTTTGGAACTCCTTCTCAGTAGCGGGAAAAGGGGAGTGGTAGGCTCCTTTCCTACCTGCTGGGCAAGATATGTTCAGAAAGCGAGGAGAGAGTGGGGGAGAGAGAGAGACTAGATGGTCTGGCTCGGTGTCCTGTTTCTGACAGCAGCCAGCCAGATGCCTTTCTGAGCGCTCATCAAAGGCAGGCAAACAACTTTTCCACCAGTTCATTTTGCGCCAAGCCCTGGATGCTTCGAAAGAGGTTGGCGGTGGAACAAACAGCTCCTACCGATTGATTAAAATGGCTCTAACATCTAACAACTGACCACGTCGAGAGGCTTCAAGACAGCAGCTCCCATCAAGCCGCTCTGAACTAGTTTATGGGAGTTGATGTCTGCCCCACACGGAGGGCAAGACGTAGGATATTCCTTTGCTCCTTTTGATGGCCACACACATCAATTCAAGAAGTGGCGTAGGGTTTCCTGCTGAAGCAGGGGGTTGGACTAGAAGACCTCCAAGGTCCCTTCCAACTCTGGTATTTTAGTCTATAATTTATTGTTCCAAGAAATAAACAACAACAAAAATGTTTTTTTTTTGACATGGATCAACTGATTGGAATAAATTTCCAGAGGAATACCCGGGGCGTACAATTGCCCTGAAGAGATTCTCAACCCACCAATCCCCTGGCGCTTTGCCCTGAGCGATGAGTCGGTGCCTGGTCTCCAGCGGACAAGAAATTCTTTCCTAACACATCTTCTACAGCAGGGAGGTGGGCTCTCTCTCTCTCTCTCTTTTTACCTATTTTACCTCCCTCCTGTCTTTTCCCATCCATTGAGGCAGAAAGAAACGAGAGAAAGTGAGAGAGAAGAAGAAGAAGACAAAACTTACCTCCAGGTTCGTCCCATAGCATTGCAGAGGGATGAATGAGTCACATCGCTCATTCCCAAGGTCTCCTCTGGGATGAGATTTCTTTCCAGTCTGGTGGTTTTGTTGTTGTTGTTGTTGTTGTTGTTGTTGTTGTTGTTGTTGTTGTCCTCCTTCAGGATGGTTCTTGGGCTTTTTCTCCCCAAGCACATGGGGCGTGTGTGAACAGGGGAGAAGCGCTTTGTTCCCTGACAGCCAAGTTCAACACGTGCGTGAACCAAGCTGTCAGAACCAAGCTTGGCGAGAAACGGGGGAGAAATCTGGGGATGCAAAGATTACAGGATTAGAGCGGGGAGGGGGAGGGAATCTTTTCCCACAGACACACAGAGTCAGACCACACAACTAGATTTCCCCCTGCATCCAGCTGGAGTCTGTCTCTTTAAAGCCTCGCTCAACCCACAGGTGGCCTCCATCACCAAGGCGGATATGCATGACGTCATGCTGAAGAGGGCGGAGTGGCTGCAACGCGTGTGCCTGTGTGTGTATGAGAGAGAGAGAGAGGAGGGAGAGGAATCCACTTCAGAACAAAAGCCCCCCCCTCCCAAAGATGCAACCATAGCAACCCAGTTGTTAATGCCTGCGCTCCAGCCATTTTGAAGCTGCTCAGCAAATCACTCTTGGCTTCTCCTAGAGAAAGAAGGGGCTGTGTTGAAATGCATATTAATGTGTAGCAAATTAATATGTTTTCAGGGACCTCTTCCTTCCCCCCCCCCAAAAAAAAATAGGAAAAGTGGAAAAGTGCATGATCACCCTAAAGTTATAAGCTGGCTTTGAATGTTATTCTAAGCGACAGCTTTGTTCCATGAGATGTATTGAGTGAACCGCAAAAGGATGGGTTCGCACAAAATTCTGAACTATGAATAATACTTTTTGAGCCATAATGGGTAAGGTAAAGGTTCCCCTCGCTCATCTGTGCTAGTCGTTCCCGACTCTAGGGGGNTGAGAATTTCTTCCAAACTTCTAGTGGCGATGTTCAAAAGCTTCCTTTAGTGGCTAAGGGCATAGCCACCGTTACTGTTGACATTGTGACACATCTTTAGGGAAAGGTGCTCCTTGCACATATGTGCTAGTCATTCCTGACTCTAGGGGGCGGTGATCATCTCCATTTCAAGGCCGAAGAGCCAGTGCTGTCCGAAGACATCTCCGTGGTCATGTGGGTGGCATTACTAAATGCCGAAGGCGCACGGAATGCTGTTACCTTCCCACCAAAGGTGGTTCCTATTTTTTCTACTTGCATTTTTAGTTGCTTTGGCAGAAGTTGGGACAAGTAATGGGAGCTCACTCTGTTAAGTGGTGCTAGGGATTTGAACTGCCGAACTGCCGACCTTTTGACCAACAAGCTCAGTCTTAGCCACTGAGCCACCACGTCCCTACACATCTTTAAATCACCATAAAACCCGTATTTAAAAAAAAAACCGTGGGAACACCCCTCTTGATTCTTGCCATTGGAAGGTATATAGAAGCCACTGGAGAAAGGACTGTGTAATGAAAGGAGAGTTTAATCAAACACACCTTTTTCACCTTTATAGTCTAAGTGAAAAGTCCCACACTTTACCCATTAAAAATTCTCTTCTCTCTTGCACACGCTCTTTCAAATGAAATAATAAGAGAAATTTCATTTGAATTGAAATGTTGCGCACACTTTCTCTTTCATCAAATGAAAGAGAATGAAAACAGATTAAATTCTTTTCAGAGAAATTGTAGACTTATCTGCCTTTCTTACGTGTACAATGGAAATGAGATCATTTGGGGAAATAAACCTGAGATCCTATTGGTGCAATATGTTAGGGATTGGACTAGAAACTTAGGAGACCATGAATTCTAGCCCTCTTTCAGAGACAAAAACTGGTTGGGTAACCTTGGGGCACCAATCCCTCCTCTCCTCTCTCTCCTCTCTCTCCTCCTCCACTCCTCCTCCTTCTCTCTTTCTTCTCTCTCCTCTCCCCTCCTCTCTTCTTTCTCCTCTCTTCTTTCTCCTCTCCTCTTCCCCTCTTCCTCCTCCTCTCTATCTTCTCCTCTCTTCTCTCTCCTCTTCTCCTCCTCCTCCTTCTCTCTTTCTTCTCTCTCCTCTCCCCTCCTCTCTTCTTTCTCCTCTCCTCTTCTCTTCCTCCTCCTCTCTATCTTCTCCTCTCCTCTCTCCTCTCTCCTCTCCTCTTCCCCTCCTCCTTCTTCTCTCTTTCTTTTCTCTCTTCTCTCTCCACTCCTCCCCTTCTCCCCTCCTCCTCCTTTTTTTCTTTCTTTCTCTCTCCCCCTCCTTCCCTGCCTCCCTTTCTCTCTCACACACATACAAACACACATCAGAAAACCTGCTTCTATCAGGATTATCTGCTGCTGTGGGATAGAAATAAAATAAATAGAAACTGAAGCACTTTTTCCTTTTGGCCTACAGCTGGTATTTCCTCACTGTATTTTAGAAACTTAATTTTGTTGCTGCCTCTTATTAGAATTTTCAATGTTTAGAATTCAGCAGATGATTTGAGTGGCTTGTGTCTGTCTGCGCACGCATGCGTGCTGGGAGCTGCATTCATCTATGTTTGCATTCATCCACCCACTCTCTGAAAATTGTAAGGAGTTTGCTTGTTTTCTTCTTCTCCTCCAATATTGGATGGATGGCTTGTTTTTAGTAAACAGAAAACAAAGTAGAATCAGCTAATGAGTGAGCAGGAAGGGAAAATAACATTTATATTCCCAATGTGCTTACATTTATTTGTTTGCTTATTCTGCTAATTATGGTAAGTATTTAAGGAAGTTGTGAACACAATTCATTTGTCTTTGCTTTTTAAAAATGTCCCAGCTCCTTTCTTCCCACTTAAATAACACAAAATACATATTTTAAGCCCACCAGGGATGCAACATACATAGGTTATTTCTTCTACTTCTCTTCCCCCCCCCCCCCGAAAAAATACAGCTCACATTCAGTTGTTTTCCACTAAATCAGGAGGTGCTTTGAGAAAGAATCTGTGAGTCCAAATATAGTGTTTGAGGGTTGAGGTCTCCTATGCTTCTGTGTATGATAATTATAAAAGGAGGCCAAAGGATGCCCCTCACATCTACAGAATTAAAGATACAAATAATCATCTGAAGAACGCTAATAGATTCCCCCGCCCCAAAGTCAATGCAATAACCGTATTGGGGGGATACACATTAGGAGCTGCAGTCCATCAAAACTGAAAGGCACTAGGCATCACGCTAGAAAGCAAAAGACCATGAGTTCAAGTCCTGCCTTCACCATGAAAGCCAATTGGGTGACTTTGGGCCAATCGCCAGGAAGATGGTGAGTTATAGTCAGTGGTGGGATTCAAATAATTTAACGGTTCTCTGGCCTAATGACCAGCTGGGTAGGCAGGGCTCGGTGGTCATGTGACTGAATGGGCATGGCCAACTCAACGTCACTCAGATCGAGGGGCGCTTCTCCTTAGCTGTTACAATGTAATAAGGGTTATGCGGAAAGGCAATTTCTGTAAGCAGGGCAATAAATATTAGGCTAGAAACAACACCAGAATGTTTCCTTCCTGCCTTCCTTACAGGATTATCTCTGTAAAGTGGCGGGGGGGGGGACGGGGGACGGACAAAATGACTTTTCTTCCAGCAACCAGTTCTCTGAACTGCTTGGAAAGTTAACAACCAGTTTTCCCCAAAGAGGTGCAAACCAGCTGAATCCAACTTCTAGTCCTGGGCATGAAAGAGGGCTGGGTGACTTTGGGCCAGTCCTTCTCTCACACCAGGCGGCTGTTATGTGAAAAATAGGAGGAGAAAGGTGTGTTGCCTATGTCTGCCAGCTTGAGCTATTTGTACAAATAATAAATAAATAAAAATAAATAAATAATGAATTTGGTTTTCCACTGTGGCCCATGCAATGCCTTCAGAAAGCTCCCTCCCACACACACACATGGTGACAGGAAAATGAAATCTCATCCTTGCTGTTTCCCCTGCTTAGCAACTGATTTTTTCTGAAGTCTGCTTCTTATGGATATGATTCCATTAATACTGATAGGCAGAACCTCGGATAGAAATGGCTACTGTTTTCTTTCCGAACTAGGGACCGGCGCTACGTGATGTGTTTTTCTTGCTAAATGGAGCAGACTGTCCAGTTCTACTCTAGTAGTCAATTAAAAGGGGCGGGGATGGGGGCGGGGGGGGAAATCAAATCCTAGTATTGTTCAGCAGCCATCTCCCTTCCCATCTCCCTTCCATCCACCTCCAAGCCTCTTGCTTGTCCTCCACTTCTGAAGTAGCTTCAAGTGCCTATGTATCTTGTGCTGGGAATGCATAACAAGGCACTCAGCTTCAGGGGAAAAGGGAACCGGCCAGTCGCCAACAAATGGATCTGAAGAGACTTCTAATATTTATCTTTTTAAAGGAGGGAAGCAGGGTTTGGAGATGAGGAACTGAAGTGAAAGATGGACAGTCTTTTTGCTCCAGCGCTCTTGACTCCTGTCTCCTTTTCTCTCAACCCCTCTATTACTGCCATCCCTTTCCGAACATAAGGCAAAGGGGGAGAAGATGGGAAGGGGGAGAGCTAAAAGCTCTGGTGTGTAATACTTGGATAAGGCGCAGCCTGGGGAGTCCAGAGCTGCAGGCTAGAGTTGAAAAACAAATTACTAAGAAAGCTCCATGGATATTTCAGGATCCAATGTTGGTCGGTCACCAAGGTCTCAAGATTTGTCTTCCAAGCTTTTGAACTCGTGCTGGTGCCCCTCTTCAGGGAACTGCTCTCTAGCGAAGGGATTGGATCCTGCAACCGGTGGTGGGATTCAAGTAATTTAACAACCAGTTCTCTGCCCTAATGACCAGCCAGGTAGGCATGACTAGGTGATCATGTGATGGGTGGGTGTGGCCAACTCAATGTCACTCACGTCAAGGGGTGCTTCTCCTCGCCTGCCCTCTTGTGACCATGGGGGATCCTGCAACGGTCGTAAGTGTGAAAAACAGTCTTGTCACTTTTTTCAGTGCCATTCAGTGGTGGGTTTCAAAAATTGTTTGAACCTACTCTGTGGGTGTGGCCTCCTTTGTGGGAGTGGCTTGCCGCCCAGGTGA